GGCTCCATTCTGCACACATGGGGTCACTATGAGTCAAAATCGACTCAATGGGAACTAACAACTACATTATTTCATTTATAGCCATATGGACTATATGTCAAACACTAAAGGCAAAAGGAACACCAGACTGAAAAATAAACCAGTTTTTTAAAACATCAGGACTGCCAAATATCAAATCATGGTGGCTGTTTTTGGATAAGTGGTGGTGATCTTGACATTGAACATACTCAAACTTCAATCTGTATTTTAATGCACACTCAGATTCAAAACCAAACGTAACAAGTTTAATTTGTCAAAGTTAATCATGCTTTTTCTTACATAACTAAAGTAACTTAAACAGCAAGTAACATTTATGAATTGGCAAATTCCTATGTATGATATATACTGAAAATTAAATTAAAAACCATATTAACAAAATCCTTATTATAAATCCAATATGAAGTAATTTTTACTTAAAATTCATTCATCAAATGCCAGTGTTTTTTTAAAGATCTGAAAGGGGTTTAAGAGCTATTTTATTATGAATAGGATCTGTCAGTGAACAAAGGGAAGTAAAATGTTCTACAGAAGAACTGAAAAAGTTAATACAAACAAAACTGGACACAATCTCTGGATTGGCATTAACAGAAAGCTAAAACTCAGTTAAAACATAGGCAATGTTTCCTTTATCTTATGAAATTATGCCAGAACCAAATTTAATATATGAATACTTGAATTCACTGAAATAGACTTAAGAATATTCAAACACCTGCCTAAGAGTCAAGGAAGAAGAAGTCTTTGAGATACGGTTACACTTCACCTTTCATTTGTAGAGTTCTTCGAGAATATCGTTTGCTGGGCCTTCTTTCAAAGGTTGCTGATCTTCTTGCTTTATTGGTTTTTGTGGTCTGATACTCAGTTTTCCCACTAAAATAAAGCGGGCATATTAACAGGTAAAAGCTATGTAAGGCTACAATAATCAGACAGACATAAATAAGAGAAAGTCAATATTCAGGTTCTCCTTAAAAGCATCGTCCTGTACTTCATGCTGAAGGAACTATGAATAATAGTCCTGATGTCTCTTTACCAGATCAGTCTTTCACTGTTTGGGCTGGTGTGAAATATGCAGCACAGGTTACACTGACTTTCCTTAAGGAGACATCCACATCGCCTGCGAACACAGTAATAATTCTGGAACATCTGGGCTTTGATGGAACTCTCCTCCCCACCCACAGTCCTCACCTCGATGAGAGCAACTGAAACAAGATTCTTCATTACTGTTTCTAATTCTGATATACTTTTTGGAATAATTTTCCAGGAATATTTTTTAAAACTGTTTTCCCTTTCCTCCTGATTTCCATTTAAAGTTTAAGGAAAACGTTTTCTCATTTTTAATACAGGTGAAATAGAAGCTTCCTTAAATGAATTCTACACAATCAATTCCTTCTGTAAACCACTGACCGACCCCCATGGCATGCTGAAAACTCACAGCAATAATCCACTCTCCAGTAAACCAGAACATTTCTAATTCATGGCCGACAAACTAGGACTCTGTAGGAATAATGCAACTTCAGGTTTACGAAGGATGACAAACGTTACACAGATCAACTTTCCACAAAATGCAGACTATCCTTTTTCCAGTGGTTAAGAGCTTGGCTGCTAACCAAAAAATCGGCAGTTCAAATCTACCAGGCACTCCTTGGAAACACTATGGGGCAGTTCTACTCTGTTCTATAGGGTCACTATGAGTCGGAATCCACTCAACAGCAACGGGTTTGGTTTTTGGTTATACAGTATCTGGCTGTTAGATGGAGAAACCCTGGAACTTTTGTATGGATTTAAGCAGGGGGCTGGCTAATATATAAACTAAATGTCAAAAGGGAGATAAAATCCATCATACCATTACCATGTTTTCCTGTGCATTCAGGAAATTACAACCAATAACATAATACCACACCTTTTCCTTTCTATTTCTGGCCAACGGAAGTCTTTAGCAAACCGCTTTATTTCTCCATGCCTTAGTTTCCACGTGTGTAAAAGGAGGAGGTGAGCTACCTTTTTTACCTTTGTAAGAGAAAGTTATAGCAAACAGTTGTTAAAATTAACCTGTATCTAAATCGTGATCCTAATCGAATGAATCCTGATCGATGAGAATTCTTTTGGACTGGGCCTCGGAGGCGGAAGAAGGCATGATGTTCCACGGCACATTTCCATAAGTGTTTGCATGCTTTTGGGTGTTCCAGTCTAAAGACAAATGTATGCTCCTGTTCTTTGCCCTGAAAGAGAAAAGGATGTAAAGAAAGGTAATTATGAGGTCAAACAGTCCCACCCCTATTCCCAAAGTCACTGCCGTCAATTCCGACTCATAGCGACCCTATAGGACAGAGTAGAACTACCCTGTAGGGTTTCTAAGGCTGTAAATCTTTACAGAAGTAGACTGCCACATCTTTCTCCCACAAAGTAGCTGGTGGGTTCAAACCGCTGACCCTTATGTTAACAGCCTGAGCGCTTAAACCACTGCGGCACTAGGGCTCCCTCACCCCTCATTATTGAGCTACAAATACAACCAAAGCAATACCAAGAATAGGATAATAAAGCATCCGGTTTACTCCCTGAAATTCAGACCCTCTTTATAGCTACCTTTATAAAAATGCAGAGGTGAAACCAAGTAGCCAATTTTCTCAGACAATATAAAATTATTCCAAAGGGTTTACCTTCTACTTACATGATCTCATTTCTCAAAGAGACGTAAAATGAGGTCTCATCTGTCATTATCTGGGATAACTGTGTAATTATACTTTAAAAGATAGTGTAAGATCTGGCAATATTTATTAACAGTTTTAAAAATGTTAACACTCTTTATTATAGTAACAGTAATCACACACACAGAAATCTAATCTAACACTAACAATCAGCGTACTTTTCTAAGGATTTCACATGAATCGCTCCAAAAACAGTAGACACAATCATCAGCCTCATTTCAAAGTAAAGGGAAGTAGGACTTAGAGAGATTCAGCAACTTGCCCACGGTCACAAACCTGGTAAGAAGGAAACCAGAATTTGTACCTGACCAGTCTGGCTCCAGAGCCCTGGGGGCACAGTGGTTAAGAGCTATGGCTGCTAACCAAAACGCAGGGAGTTCAAATCCACCAGCTGCACCTTGGAAACCCTATGGGACAGTTCTACTCTGTCCTATAGGGTCACTATGAGTTGGAATCGACTCGACAGCCATGAGTCAGTCTGGCTCCAGAGCCCACATTTGTAACAATTAAGTTACACTGCCCTTGCATGACTGCCAGCCTTTGGTTAGCAGCCAAGCTCTAATCACTGCATCACCAGGGCTCCAACAAAGGCAAGAGGTTAAGATTTAAAACACATATTTTGGGGGGAATATAATTTAATCCATAAGAATATCCTTCTCCAGGGACTGGTCCCTCCTGACAACCTGTCCAAAGTACATGAGAAAAAGTCTCAC